AACCCCTTGGCCTGGGGCACAAAAACAGTAGATGGTTGCATGGGACTACTATACTCCTTTATAGAATAACAAGGCATTTTGAGATACAGATGCACCCCAATACTAGACCTGTCCAAGTAGCCTCTTCTTCCATTGGCTCTGGAGGTCCAAGGACTGCTGATGTCATCATGTCTTACGCAGGTCCATTGACTTGCATTAAATAAGAGGATGCTGAAGGACATTCCATAGCTGGATTGGAGGGGGAGAGAGGTGAGTGCCAACAACTGTGGGTCTGAGGATCAGGCGAGTAATACAGCTTTAACCTTGCCCCACTGCAAGGGTAAGTTTGTGATTTTTTCCCAGAGTTCTGAACTCTGGCCAAAATAAGCCGGTGCATGAGCATTTTTCCTGCCAGCACACAGTAGGACCGTGCATGAGCAAGCCCTACAAGATGCTACTACATGCTGATTGTGTAGGTACCTTCATAAGGAGCCATTAGTTCCATTTGTTTAGTGATCATTTGGTATGCTTAAAGGAGAACTATGGGGTTAAGTCTTTTCCCCATAGTTCTCCTTAGGGTAACGGGAGGACACAAACCAGCGTCCTCCCGTCACCCTAGGCTCAGTATACCGTGAGCTGTAGCTCGCGGTATACTGAGACGCTGAAGCAGATCCCGACAATTGTGCTAGGATCCGCCCAGCTGCGTGACTGACAGCTGGCTCTGCCTACCTAGAGACAGAGCCAGCTGTACCCTCCCCCGTCCGTTCCGCCAGTCAGCGCTGGCGGATCGGAGCGGGGAGGGGGGAATCCAGCCCCTCCCCTGTCACGGCAGAGAGCCGTGACAGGATCGAGAGGTGAGCGAACGCCGGTATGTGTTCGCTCACCTCCCGATCTACTGAGCCGACCTGTGACAGTCTCATTGTCACAGGTCGGCTCGAACTATGAGGTGAGTGAAAAGCACTCACCTCATAGTTCTCCTTTAACAATCATTAGCAATTTACAGAAAAGTCTCCAGTCTTAAGCTGGCCATACACCTATAGGTGATCTGCAGATTTTCTATGGTCAGATGGAAAAAGTACAACAGATTCCTCCATCTACGCTAAACTGTGTGGAAGGAGGAATCTTCCACTGGGTCAAGCTTCAGTATCTTGCTAGCCGGCCCCGCTGGCTCTCAAAACACCTGAACAATGCCTGCATCCAATCAGATTGTTCAGGTATTTTGACAGCCAGCGGGGCCGACTAGCAAGACACTGAAGCTTGGCCCAGTGGGAGATTCCTCCATCCACACTGTTAAGTGTAGATGGAGGAATCTGTTGCACTTTTTCCATCTGACCATAAACAATCTGCCGATAATCTATAGGTGTATGGCCAGCTTTATGGACTAATCTTCACAAGCCTTTTGTATGAAAATGTCAATATTTTTCTGTCACATGTGGCAGGTAGTAAAATCCCTATTTTGGTGCAGTTTAGAATACAAAAAGAAAAGATATGTACGATCAAAACACGTTTTTTTAACACTGGTTTGTAAGAATTAATTGTCTTCTAACAAGAACAATAGTGAAAGAGTTATTTCCCCGTGTGGTCTCACTTTGATAGAAACAGTTGTATCTCCTTGTCCACTTCCCCATTGATTGCATATCTACTACCTTTTCTTTGTCGCATCCTGTGTAGCAATTCAAGACTTGTTCAGTTAAAGATTTCAAGTGTAATGCCATGTATACGGCCCAGGAAAGGAGGCTTACAGGTTGGTGTATGTGTCTTTTTATAACCGTCTACATATGATTGCCTTATTCTTCTATTTGTGAGTTACCAGATGTTTCTGTCTTTTGTAATGGCAGAGTTAATTAAGCCTTCCTCTTTAAACAGGACCTGTGCTGCAGGAGCTGCCACTGTTGACTTCTACTGAAAATGTTTGTTCCCTGGCTGATCCAATGGCTCTAGTACTTTCTAGAGTTCTGGCAGGCTCCCTACCTCTTAAAATGTATTTCCACCTTTGCAGTCAAATTTGAGAAACTCCCACTATATGTTTGTTACGTGTTCCCATTCATACAGCATACCTAAAAATAGCTTTTAAAAAAAATATTTCTTACCTTTTTTAGTAATATTAGGATTATATGTAGGACTCTATGAGCAGCTTGTATTGCTTTGAAAAGATGATCTGGATATGAGGACAAGACTGAGAGATACTCATTATCATACAATGTACTGTACCTCCCAAGTCTTGATTTTTAACCCTTTGCTAGGACAGACAGTCTAGCGCATCTAGTTTATAATGGAGAATAAAATCTCCAAGCACAGCTCAGATAGAGTTAATATGTCAGACACAATTCCCTAGCCCCCTGATAACCGTAGAAAGGGAAAAGTAAGTAGGATTTTTCAGTCCTAGACTTTTCAGAAAAGAGCACTTAACTCTTAGTGAACTGAGTCTGATAAGATGTCACTGTTCGGCTGATTCACCTGGCTCAGTCAATTTTTGAATCAAGTGTTTTTGTGCTTGGTGGGTTTTGCAAGACACTCCTTTCTATGACCAGCATCGGTACAGGTTTCCAAATTGTTCATGCTTTCTGGATATCCATATACTTAAAGGGAACCTTTTGAGACCGGGAATATCCTATTGCCTTATGGGATCAGGAAGGAATTATTTTCCCCTGTTGGAGCAAATTGAACCACGCTTTATAGGGTTTTTTTTGCCTTCCTCTGAATCAACAGGGGGTAATTGTGGGCATAGCGTTCTGTGTAGGCTTTTTTTTTTTTCATATCTCTATAGGTTGAACTCGATATACTTGTGTCTTTTGTCAACCTGACTAACTATGTAATATACACAGTATATGGGAGGTGTAATTTTTGGCATTGTGGTGCTGGGGTAATCATCTTTATCCTAGCTTCACTACTTATCAATTCACTGATTCAAAACAAGCATACGAATGGTGAAGAGTCAGGACATCTGATGCACATGTACTTCTCATGGTTTAGCAATTACTGCAACGAGCTGGATGACAGTTGAATAACACCATAAAAACACATCATCTAGAGAAGTTCCTGTATTTCTCTTTTGACACCACCATCAGTTTTTGGTGTACCGATGCTGGTCTGGAGTGTGTCTGATTTACTAAAGGAGCAAAGCATGTTCACTATGCAAAGGTAAATTTCACTTGGCTTAGTGAAAGAGGTAACTTTTCTTACCCAATCATATACAAGGAAAAATACTTTTTTTTCCTTTATTTTTCTTGCACGTGAGTGTGTATTCTGTGCAAAATGACCTTTTTCCCGCAATCACTAAGGTGAGTGAGAACCCCCTTGAAAATGATAATTCGATTTGCAAATCTTTTGTAAATCAGCCACAAAATTGTCTTCCGTCTCTCAGTCTTCTTGTCTTCTATCTGTGGGCCCAATCACACCATTGTGTGACACCATTGTCCGACACCATTGTGCATTGTGATAATGCATGAGCCCCCGTGGATTATGGTATGATGTGTTATTCATTTTAAATGGGCCCCGATGCAGGAGAAATCACTCCCGCTCTGTTTCTTTAACTGGAATGCACAGCAGCACACATTTCGTCCCATGGGCTGCATTAAAAGCAATTGTTGATATGGGAAAAAACATTGGTGGAAAGAAATCTTTCTCTCTTTGTCTCACTCTCTCCCTCACTTTGTGTCTTCTCTCTCCCCTTGCCTCTCTCACCTTCTTTCTCACTCTTTTCTCACTCTATTTCTTTCTCTAATCCCACCCTCTCTTTTCCCCTTGTGTCTCTTTCCCTCTTGTTGATTTTTTTACTCTGTTCTCTCTTTCCTTCATTCTTTCTCCTCTCTCTATCTTTTGTTCTCTCTCCTATCTCTCTCTTTTACTCTTTCTCTCTCTTTTTCAGTCTCACTCCATTTTCTCTTTCTCTCTCTTGTCTGTTTTCTCTCTCTCTCTCTCTCATCTTTATTTTGTCTACATCTTCTCTCTTTATCTCTTTCACTCTTTCTCTTTTTTCTCTCTCTTCTCTCTCTCCCTCTTGTCTCTCCTTTTCTCTACATCTCTTTCTCTCCCTTTTGTCTCTCTTTTCTCTCCATCCTCTCTCTCTCTTTCCCTATTTCCCCTTTCTCTCCCTCTTGTCTCTCTTTTTCTCTTTCTCTCTCTCTCTCTCTCTCTCTCTCTCTCTCTCTCTCTCTCGCTCTCTTGCTCTTTCAATTCTCTCTTTCCCTTTTCTCTCTATTCCTTCTCTTTCTCTCCCCTTTGTCTCCTTTTTTTTCTTCTCCATTTTCTCTTTCTCTCTCTCTCTCTCTCTTTCCCTTTTTGCTCTCTCTCTCAATCTTGTCTCTCCTTTTCTCTACATCTCTTTCTCTCCCCTTTGTCTCTCTTTTCTCTCCATCCTCTCTCTCTCTCTCTCTTTCCCTATTTCCCCTTTCTCTCCCTCTTCTCTCTCTCTTTCCCCATTCTCTCTATTCCTTCTCTTTCTCTCCCCCTTTGTCTCTCTTTTTTCTCTCTCCATTCTCTCTCTCTCTCTCTCTCTCTCTCTCTTTCCCTTTCCCTTTTTGCTCTCTCTCCCTCTTGTCTGTCTTTTTCTCTCCATCCTCTCTCTCTCTCTCTTTTGCTCTTTCAATTTTCTATCTCTTTCTCTCCCCTTTGTCTCTCTTTTTCTCTCCATCTTCTCTCTCTTTTTTTCTCTTTTTCTATATCCCTTTTCGCTCTCTCTCCTTTTTGTCTCTCTTTTTATCTCCATCCTCTCTCTCTTTCTCTCCCTTTTTTGCTCTTTCCCTTCTCTCTCTTTCTTTCCCTCTTCTCTCTCTTTTTCTCCCCATTTTCTTTCTTTCTCTCTATTTTGCTTATTCCATTTTCTTTCCCTCTCTCCCTCTTGTCTCTCTTTTGCTCTCTCCCTTTCTCGAAATCTGTTTCATCTCTTCTCTGTCTCTTTCTTCCACTGTCTCTTTCTTCCTCATACTCCCTCTCTGCTCTCCAGGTACCTGTAGTCTAGGTGTTGCTCTGGTTATGCCGGCCTGACAAGGGAGGGGTGTGGGACAACGACAGGAGGAGTGGCTGCTCTGACATATTCCACCTTTGGATACTTCCTCATTCTGCTCCGTGTTTCCCTCTACAGAGTGGTGACCCAGGTGGGCTGTGGGTAGGAGGTCGCCATGAGTCAGGTGGCAGACAACCTCCGGGGCTTCCTGGCCAGGGTGGAGAGTGCTAAGTACAAGCTGGGTGAAGACCCCATGGTAAAGGAATTTCAGGTGAGTGTCCACTTACATTGTTCTGCTTTTCATTTTAGCAAATTGCAAAAAAAAGACCTGAAACTGTTGTTCTGCTTTCCCAGATCCCTCTAGCCAATGTTACTCTTCCACCTCTGAAAAGTGAATGCTACTATCATATGAAAACACTGATCTGTAGTGTAATTTATTGTTGCTTGAAGGAGTTCTACTTCTTCAGTATTCCTGGGGTAAAAAAAAAACCCTTGCAGTTACCCATTGAGCTTTAATAGTTAAAAAATAAAGACTGCATTATTGGCAGATTTATTTAATCCCTCATTATCATTGAAGCCTTCTCTGTTTATTTGTGTTTCTTCACCCTCTAGTGAATGGCTGCATGGAGGCCTGTCTACCCCTATGTGGTGAAAGCTTTTACAAGTGACAGATAGCCCAAAACAAATAGAACTGCCGGCTGCTGATCTGTAAACTCTCACAGACCATTTACTTTTTGGTGACACAGCCTATTATCGCATTATAGTATCTCATGCAGGCAAAAATTAGAGAGGATGATGGGTCATTTTGGATGGAGCATCTGGGGATGAATCCAAGGCTACAAATAACAATGCACATGGGTTCTGTTGTGTAATTCTACTTATATTTCTTTATAGCTATTGTAGGTATTTATCATAGTGGTAGCCCTGCTGCTTTTTATTGGATAGATAAAAAATAACATGCTTGGGTCTAATAATTGCCACTTTTTACATCGCCTGTAGATCTACTCATCTGCCCACGAACTCTTACACGTTAAATCGGCCACATCCTGTTGGATACATGTTTTCATGATATCACTCACTATAACTGAATTTTGCTTCAGTTGTTACATAGTCTCCTGCACGCTGATAGGCAGGCAGTCTCTTCTTATTTGTCTTTCCTGAACCTTTAGCAGCAGAAAAACTAAGCTGAGCATGATGTTATCTCTCAGACCCTGGCATATAGCTGATCCAGGACTTTTTGGAATTTATACAGGAATCCACGAGAAGTAATTCATCCTATATCTCCTTACAGTTTTATTTAAACTACACCATTTTTCTAGGACACACAGTAAAAACTAGAAGGGTTTTTATAGGTACAGGGAAATGGTCCATGAACATAGATTCTTGTAAAACAATGACGTTTATTCAGATACACACGTTAAATTCTTCATAGAATTATGACATAGTGTATACTTTGTCAAAATTTCCAACCTCTCTGCTAACCTCCATCTAGACCCACTGGTTTTTTTAAAAACGCATCTTAATATATTAACCAAGATATGATACGTCTAGTACACTGAACAATTGTATGATGGAAAGAGGACCTGATCTTTCCTTGACGCGTTTTGTGGACTTCTTCAGGAGGACAGGATGGAGGCAAGTATATGTATGATGTCTTGCAAATTATCCAAACATTAATCCTGCCTGTATGTTCCACTCATCATGGATACCAGAGCGTGTAGGGGAAACCCCTGGAGATCTTATAGCAGAGAGAATTAACACACAGTGATGAATCTGTGTAGGGAATTCTATGGTAAGTACTACAGTAGCTGCATAGCAAAAACATATACAGCAATAACAAGATACAATAGAAAAGCTATGATAAAAATATTACATAATGCGTAAGGCGTTTGTTAGGTGAGATTGTGTGTCTTGTCAGATAGTGGAAGAGGAAGCAGTGTTGGATAAGTACCCTGTATATAAGGTGGCAGTGTGTGCCTTAGATAGTGGAGGAGGAAGCAGCCCTGGGTCAGTAAGCCATATATATAATGTAACAGTGTGTACTTTGCTAGATGGTGGAGGAGAAAGCAATGCAGAATCAGTAAGTTATAATTAATGAAACATTGTGTTCCGTGTCAGACAACGGAGATGGAAGCAGTGCTGAATCAGTAAGTTGTATATAAGGAGACAATGTGTGCATTGTCAGATAGTAATGGAGGAAGCAGTGCTGGTTTGGTAAGTTGTATATAAGGAGACAGATAGTGGAGGAAAAAGCAGTGGCAGATGAGTAAGTTGTATTTAAGGTAACAGTGTGTACCTTGTCAGATAGTGGAGGAGGAAGCAGTGCGGGATCAGTAAGTTGTATATAAGGTGGCAGTGTGTACCTTGTCAGAGAGTGGACGGGGAAGCAGTGCGGGATCAGTAAGTTGTATATACCGTGTTTCCCCGAAAATAAGACAGTGTCTTTTTTTTTTCACGAAAAAAGACACTAGGTCTTATTTTCGGGGTAGGTCTTATATTACAGAAATCCCCGAAGATAGCACTAGGTCTTATTTTCGGGGTAGGTCTTACTTTCGGGGAAACACGGTAAGGTGACAGTGTGTACCTTGTTAGATAGTGGAGGAGGAAGCAGTGCGGGATCAGTAAGTTGTATATACCGTGTTTCCCCGAAAATAAGACAGTGTCTTTTTTTTTTCACGAAAAAAGACACTAGGTCTTATTTTCGGGGTAGGTCTTACTTTCGGGGAAACACGGTAAGGTGACAGTGTGTACCTTGTTAGATAGTGGAGGAGGAAGCAGTGCGGGATCAGTAAGTTGTATATACCGTGTTTCCCCGAAAATAAGACAGTGTCTTTTTTTTTTCACGAAAAAAGACACTAGGTCTTATTTTCGGGGTAGGTCTTACTTTCGGGGAAACACGGTAAGGTGACAGTGTGTACCTTGTTAGATAGTGGAGGAGGAAGCAGTGCGGGATCAGTAAGTTGTATATACCGTGTTTCCCCGAAAATAAGACAGTGTCTTTTTTTTTTCACGAAAAAAGACACTAGGTCTTATTTTCGGGGTAGGTCTTACTTTCGGGGAAACACGGTAAGGTGACAGTGTGTACCTTGTCAGAGAGTGGAGGAGGAAGAAGTGGCAGATCAGTAAATTGTATATAAGGAGACAGTGTATACCTTGTCAGATAGTGGAGGAGGAGGCAGTGTTGGATCAGTAAGTTGTATATAAGAAGGCAGTGTGTCAGATAGTGCAGAAGGAAGCAGTGTTGGATCAGTAAGTTGTACATAGAGACAGCATGTCCCTTGTTAGATAGTGGAAAAGGAAGTATTGGCAGGTCAGAAAATATCTTAAGTTAGACTATATTATTATTTTTGCTGCAAGTGGTGAGTTGTAAGGTTACTTCCAAATGTTTTAAGGTTTGGGGAGTGTCATATGGCTCATGAAAAGGGATTCCAGAGGAAGGAAGGGCTGATGTAGAGCCCTGAAGGCAAGAGTGTGAGGGGGTGACTAGTAGGGAAAAGAGAAGGTAGTCTTGTGAGGAGCAGGATCTGGGTGGATCTGGAAGTCATTTGGGTTTTGTATGGAGGGGCCAAACTGGAGAGACAATTTCCCAGTAATATATGATGATAAAAACATGAACAATTTAGAAATAAAGTCATATACACTTGTGCTCATAAGTTTACATACCCTGGCAGAATGTATGATTTCCTGGCCATTTTTCAGAGAATATGAATGATAACACGAAAACCTTTCTGTCACTCATGGGTAGTGTTTGGCTGAAGCCATTTATTATCATTCAACTGTGTTTACTCTTTTCCAATCATAATGACAACAGAAACTACCCAAATGACCCTGATCAAAAGTTTACTTGCCCCAGTTCTTAATACGGTGTGTTGCCCCCTTTAACATCAATGACAGCTTGAACTCTTTTGTGGTATGTGTGGAGGAGGCTCTTTATCTTCTCAGATGGTAAAGCTGCCCATTCTTCCTGGCAAAAAGCCTCCAGGTCATGTAAATTTGTGGGCTGTCTTGCATGACCTGCACGTTTGAGATCTCCCCAGAGTGGCTCAATGATATTGAGGTCAGGAGACTGAGATGGCCATTCCAGAACCTTCACTTTATTCTGCTGTAGCCAATGACAGGTCGACTTGGCCTTGTGTTTAGGATCATTGTCATGTTGGAATGTCCAAGTACGTCCCATGCGCAGCTTCCAGACTGATGCATGCAAATTGTCCTCCAGTATCTTTTGATAACATACTGCATTCATCGTGCCATCAATTCTGACCAACTTTCCTGTGCCTTTGTAGCTCACACATCCCCAAAACATCAGCGATCCACCTCCGTGTTTCACAGTAGGAATGGTGTACTTTTCATCATAGGCCTTGTTGACTCCTCTCCAAATGTAGCGTTTATGGTTGTGGCCGAAAAGCTCAATTTTGATCTCATCACTCCAAATGACTTTGTGCCAGAAGGTATGAGGCTTGTCTCTGTGCTGTTTGGCGTTTTGTAAGCGGGATACTTTGTGGCATTTGGGTAGTAATGGCTTTCTTCTGGCGACTCGACCATGCAGCCCATCTTTCTTCAAGTGCCTCCTTATTGTGCATCTTGCAACAGCCACACCACATGTTTTCAGAGTGTCCTGTATTTCACCTTAAGTTATTTGTGGGTTTTTCTTTGCATCCCGAACAATTTTCCTGGCAGTTGTGGCTGACAGTTTGGTTGGTCTACCTGACTGTGGTTTGGTTTCAACAGAACCCCTCATGTTCCACTTCTTGATTAGAGTTTGATACTGCTGATTGGCATTCTCAATTCCTTGGATATCTTTTTATATCGCTTTCCTGTTCTATACAGTTCAACTACCTTTTCCCGCAGGTCCTTTGACAATTCTTTTGCTTTCCCCATGACTCAGAATCCAGACACGTCAGTGCAGCACTGGATGAAGGATGCAAGGGTCTGTCAGCAGGCCAGAAACTCATTGGCCTTTTATACACACACACTGATTACATGCAAACAGATCACAGGTGAGGATGGTTCCCTTTAATAGCCATTCACACCCCTTTGTGTCAACCTGCGTGCATGTTATCAGGCCAAAATCACCAGGTTATGTAAACTTTTGATCAGGGTCATTTGGGTAGTTTCTTTTGCCATTATGAATGGAAAAGAGTAAACATAGTTGATTGATAATAAATGGCTTCAGCCAAACACTACCCATGAGTGACAGAAAGGTTTTCGTGTTATCATTCATATTCTGTGAAAAATGGCCAGGAAATCATACATTCTGCCAGGGTATGTAAACTTATGAGCACAACTGTACACTATGTATCCGCGTCACTAAAAAAAACATTAATAATACTGAAAAAATGTTTTTCACTGTAACAGTAAAAAAAGAATTTACTCACTGGGTTGCCACTGGGTTGAGCAAAATCCGCCGGGTGCGGCTGTCTTTTAGAGGTGGAAACTGACAATTTTATCATGAAACACCTTCTGCTACGAAATTCTTCCCCCCAAGCACTGCTTGTTCACTCAGTGTGCCTCACCTGTCCTCATTCCTCTGATTGTACACACTGCTCACGTGTTTTAATGTGCTGCAATAAACAGACAAGGACAGGGTTCCGTGATTGATGTCATCTGTCAAAGCAGCACATCTACCATGACAAACATCTCCAGTAAACATGCTGGTTGTCAGCTTGTGTGCGGTCTCCATGTGCTGTCACCTGACCTAAAGGTACTACTGATCACTTTCCAGCAGCTGAGGGTAAGCTTCGAATGGGGAATTTTGTGACTGGCAGATAAGACACCAGCTAAATGGTCACTTTCTATTTTCCCTCTGTGCCCTTCAGTTATATCTATAAAATGACACTTAAGCTTCGGGAGATGGGAATTCCACACCCCTGCTGCCCCGAGGCCGGGCCTTGGTTGGCCTTGTGGGAAATCCGGCCCTGTATACACTATAGATTATCTGCAGATTTTCTATGGTCAGATGGAAAAAGTGCAACAGACTCCTCCATCTACAGTACGCTAAACTGTGTGGATGGCGGAATCTCCCGCTAGGCCAAGGTTCAGTATCTTGCTAGTCGGCCCCGCTGGCTGTCAAAATACCTGAACAATCTGATTGGATGCAGGCATTGTTCAGGTATTTTGAGAGCCAGTGGGGCCGACTAGCAAGATACTGCAGCTTGGCCCAGTGGCAGATTCCTCCATCCACACAGTTTAGCGTGGATGGAGGAATCTGTTGCACTTTTTCCATCTGACCATGCAGATAATCTATAGATGTATGGCCAGCTAAAGATGCACTTCAAAAAGCTATAACAAGCCCTTGGAAATGGATATATGATGAAGATATAGTTGAGTTCATACAAAAAGAATAGAGGAAACGGTGCTAACTCTGGGGTAGCCAGTAACTAGGGTGTGTTAAGGTGGCCATCAAATGGCAGCCTCCCAATCTATCCTTGAGATGGTATGTATGTCTGTTCACTGATTTCTATGACAGATTTTGGTGTTGGCATTCCTACAATAACAGCCGATACAAAGTCTAGTTTAACTTGCTAACATTCAGTGGAAAAATGACTGCTGCAACCTGTCTGGCCTGTACAGATGACACAACCACATTTCTTGTTGTCCAATTTTCTTTTCATAGGTCACTGTGTATTTATATGTAGAGCCAGTTCAGTTTTGGGATGATGGCTGCAGGATGAATCAACCACCAATGTCTTATGCCTTACACAAACGTTTAAAACCAATCATTCAGTTATCGGTTTCTGTAAATATTTCAAAGGGATCTATGAAAAATCAAACCACTCATAGGCATTGTTTGATTATTTATTTACTATTTTTCTATAACACCGATGATTTACACAGTACTTTTATAGTGCACATTCTCACCAGTCCATGCCCTGAAAGAGCTTACAATCTAATGCCCCTATCTCATATGCATGCATACACTCACATACATACTAGGGTCATTTACCCTACCAGCATGTCTTTGGAATATGGGACGAAACCCACGCAAGCACAGGGAGAACATGCAAACTCCATGCAGATAGAGTCAGGACCGGCATTTGGACCAAGGACCCGAGTGATACTCGGCAAAAGTGCTAACCACTAAGCCACTGTGTTCCCTATCGCTGTGCATTTAATTTTAATTTTAAGTTGAAACTGCAGGAGAACTTGTGAGAAGTTAAATTTGCATCCAGCATCCTAATATAGACAGTTGTTTGAATGTTGCTGGGTTCAGTACTTTCCGAGTCATTGGTCTAGAACAAGTGAATAAAGACTGCAGTGACCTAAAGTGAAGTGAACTCATCTATATTTGTTCTGGACCGGTTGGTTATGACACCCTTAGTATTCGGGTTAAAGGGTTAGGTTAAGACTATAGTTGGTGTTAAGGTTGGGGTTGAATTTTTGGGTTAAGCATTAGGTTAATTTTTAGGATTAAGGTTCTGTTCTAAGGCTTTATTTTTAGGGTGGGGTTTAGGTTAGAGTGAGATTAGGTGATAAGACTTAAAGTGACATTAAACCCTCAGATTTTTTTACATAAACCAATACTGTAATGTGTGCCTTACTGTAATCCATGGTTGTTTCCCTTCTCTTTGCTGCTCTTCCTTTTAAATCCTCATGTCTTCTTATGCTGAGGGAGAACTTCCCTTTGCAGCTGACTGCCTCTTCCTGTAGTGCTGGCTCAGGTTGCAAACGTATACACAGACACCATGTATCCATTTCAGAGACAAGGCAGTCTGCTGCAAAACAGAAGTTCTGCCCAGCATGAGAAGACATGAGGATTTAAAAGGAAGAGCAGCAAAGAGAAGGGAAACTACCATGGATTACAGTAAGGCGCACATTACAGTATTGGTTTATGTTATAAAATCTGAGGGTTTAATGTCACTTTAAGTTTCAGAGTTAGTTTACGCCAAAACTCTAACCAGTTGTTTTGGATAGATTGGGGAAGAATTACAATTTTCCTCTCTTTCTGTCCTTGTTACACCCCACCACACAAGAAATGAAGGGAGCGGCTGTCATCAGTACAGGAAGGCACAGACTACATTGAGGAGATTTTCTAACACTTACTGCCTTGATTCTTCCCCAAAACAAAATGTAAAATTTGGAAAATGTTTTGTTTTCATTTTGGATACAATAGGGAAGAGTTAAACCCATAGCAGGTTATTATTTTGCTGCCTGTGTCCCCTGGGGAGATTTCCCTTCTTTTCCTTTCTGGGAGACACAACAGGATATTAGAGGAAATCTGCCCAAAGTGAGCGGAATTATCGTCTTAGAAACCAGAACATTTGTCCGATTGATGATGATTTATCCTCATCTCCTGTTCTGGCGACAAATCTAAAATTTCGGGTTTCTTTCTTTCTCAGTGACAGTTGGTTACAGGGACAAATAGAAAGGGGTGAATCATCCGAGCAGGGACACGGACAGCAATAAAAACTTGACAGAAGGTCTAATTCTTCCCCACTTCATCCAAAATATTAGAAAACATTTGCCTTTACATAGACTTAATTTAAGGGTTCATTTAGGGCTTAGATTAAAATGTTAGGGTTCTGGTAAGGAGAAGGCTGTACTGGTATGTACACAAATCCCACTGTTTACATGCGTACCATATCTTATACACTGACTGCACTGGAGTTCTGGGTAGTGCGTCATTTCATGTACGCATGTAAACAGTGGGATTTGCGTACATACCCATACAGCCGTCTCTTCAGCTATCCTGTCATTGATTAGTACAGGCTGGCTGCATGCAGCTATATGGTGCACCTGTCCCTTCCGGCAAGAGAATTGAGCCAGGATGTACAGCCCTCTTACTGTAGCCCATAGTGAAGATTTGCCATCTCATGGGATACATCTAGAAATGTTAATTGTGCCTTAGCAGTATCCTGAAAGATGTAACTTTCCTCCTGGGAAATAGCAGTGCACTTCTTGGTATGCAAAGGTTCCTTTTTCAAGCGGATTTTGGAGAAGTCCATAGGAAGAGTTGGGTAGTGATTTCCTCCAAGAAAGTAAGATCACTCTTCCAATCCCTTACAGAAAGCTTAGCTGAGCTAAATTGAGTCACAGGGCAACTGAAATAAACTACCTGATTATACAAACATATGGCTAAACATAACAATCATGTATGGGACAATTTTCGCCATGTTGGAAAATGTAAAAATATTAAAGTAGAACTGAACCAAAACTTTTTTTAGCTTTGGGCAGAGTAAAGGAGTGTTATAACCTGTCAACTTTTTTTGTCCCATTGGGGATATTTCCCTTTACTTCCTGTCTGATAGCCACAACAGGAATTATGAGGAAATCCCCCAAAATAGAGGGAAACCCCTGGTGGCTAGCAGCGTCCCCTGAACTTGTGTCCCCATTGGAAGATTTTCCATCTATTCGTGTTCTGCTGACAACCCAATATTTGCGATTTTCTTTGACTTTCACTTTTAGTGATAATGATCACCAGGAGAAAGGGTCAATCTCCCTAAAGCTGGCCATACACCTATAGATTATCTGCAGATTTTCTATGGTCAGATGGAAAAAGTGCAACAGATTCCTCCATCTACGATACACTGTGTGGATGGAGGAATCTCCCACTGGGCCAAGCTCCAGTATCGTGCTAGTCGGCCCCACTGGCTCTCAAAACACCTGAACAATCTGATTGGATGCAGGCATTGTTCAGGTAGTTTGAGAGCCAGTGGGGCCGACTAGCAAGATACTGGAGCTTGGCCCAGTGGGAGATCCCTCCATCCACACAGTTTAGCATAGATGGAGGAATCTGTTGCACTTTTTCCATCTGACCACAGAAAATCTGCAGATAATCTATAGGTGTATGGCCAGCTTCACAGAGACACAGACAGCAATAAAAACCTGATGGGAGTTGTAATCCCTCTCCACTCTATCCAAAACTAGAAAAAAAAGTGTTGGCATCAGTTGCATTTTAAGTTTTCCATCAGGCAACATGCTGGCTGCATTTCTGCAGGTTCAGTTACAGAATATTGGCATACCAGGAGCCAAAGCATTGAGCTAGGAAGGCGGCCAGTTGCCTAAAACAAATGCCAGAACCTGCAGCAGGTAAAAAGTGTCCTACAAAGGAAGGGTTCTTATTTACTTTATTCTGCTGTTTTGCAGGAAATTAGGAATCGATCTGCTGCTTTCAAGCAGGACAACAATTACTTCACGGAGGCAGGGGGAAGCCAGGAGAACCTAAAGAAGAATCGATACAAAGACATTCTTCCATGTGAGTATAAGACAAGAATCTACAGGGAAAGAAGAAATCAACTGATCCAGATGGCCCTAGACACAGGCCCACTGAGCCTAACTCTTAGGCCTTGTTCACACCAAATGCAGAGCAGATCTGCATGAGTTTCTGCACACGCAGTGCAGTGGGTTGTGCCGCGTTTTTTTAAGCGTTCCGGGCCGTTTTTGGTTTTTAAAAAAATGTATTTTTTTTTTAGTTTAAAATGGGCTTTCAGTGCGTTCCAGGGCGTTTGCATGCGTTTTTGATGCGTTTGCATGCGTTCCAGAGCAGTTAAAATAGGGCCTACTGCAGTTTTTTTCCCTGCTCTGGAACGGAACGCTGCGTTGTGAACTGGAGCTAAAAAATACCATTGGAATACATTGGACGCAGTTTTGCTCCGGTCTGTAACTGCTCTGCTCAGCTCCTGGAACGCACTTGGTGTGAACAAGGCCTCAGTCTGCTCGTGTGGGAGCACTTACCATTACTTACTACTTTGTTTTTTGTTGCAGATGATCAGACGCGGGTTCCCATCACATTTCTCGCAGAAGAAGTTGGCTCAGACTATATTAATGCAAGCTTCATACAGGTGATGACCAACTGCTGTTGGGAAAAACAACCTGTCACTTTTAAAAAGATCTTGTTCAGTAGTCAGCTTGATGCAAGTGCTACCCTCATCCCTAATCTAATATTTTAATACATTTTTATTATCAGTCATTCTTTCCACAGGAATCACAATAAGGTAGACTTGGAATCAGATGTACTGTATTTTTTTTTTCAGATTTAGTAGGGATTAGCGAAATTTAGATTTTATGCCTCAGAACAATTTGTGCGAAAATTAAGGAATTTCGCCAAAATCTCCCTAATTAGGCAAAATGCATTGGGGCCAATTAGGAAGGCATTAGTAATATGGCTCCTGAGGGTTCTGAAAGCTCTTCTAATGGACAACTAAAGGCTCCCTTATGACAGTCAAAACAATTATGAAATCCAGTTACTTTGTGATGCACAAGCTTCATAAAGTAAACTAAAAACTTCCTTCACCTCCTCCGACCGTGCCAAATTCTTCTTCATTTGTAGTTCACGTGCTCCCCAAGCTCACAGTAGGAGGGTTTGAGCAACAGAGGCAATGCTATTAGTCCAGAAAGCAGTGGGTGGGACTAGGTGAGGCTAGGTGCTGATTGACAAGCCACAGGCTTGTATATCAACAGTGACAATGCTGATAGCCACAAAACCCTGCAACATCCTGTTATCCCACTGTAGTAGAAGCAAGCATAGCCCACATGAGAATGGTAACTATGCTTTTCCTGAATTCAGGAGCAGTGCAGCATTGTTGCCACCCCATCACAGGCATTGGGTGGACTTCAGTAGCTGATCAACAGGTATTTGTGGGTCTTTGCAGGGGACAATTGTAAGTGCAGACAGCGCATAATCTTTTATTATTCCTTTTATTTTTAATTTACAACAACCTTTAATCTCCTTGGCGGTAATCCCGAGTATGGCTCGGGGTTAATTTTCAGTATCATAAGCGGTAACACCGAACCACACTCGGTATTACAGCGTAGCGTTACTTACCTTGTCCTTCGAGCCGCGCTGTGTCCTCCAGGCCGATGCCGGCATTCGTCTCCCGGGTTCCATCCCTTGCGAGCGTCCGCGTCGCAAGGGGGTGGAACCGGCAGGAATTTTAAAAGTAAAAATAACGGGGAAAAAAAGAACAAAAAAAAGGAAAAAAATAAATAAATAATCAGACCGCCAGTGAGGTTAAGAAAAGTAATTCTTTCAACGCAGACCAAGAAAGAAAGAAGGAAACAAAGTCATATGATCAACATGTCAATCCTGACGTTCTCCTAGAGTGCACCTAGGTGCGTTTAGGTACAGTGATGTCCCTGGAGCCTAAAGATTGCATTCAAGGATATAAAGTACTGTTTTTTGTTTTTTTAATTACTGTTGCTGTATATTTTGGCATGTCATACATTTAGATATGCAGACTTGGGAAGTTGTGTAAAGGTCCACTTTAATAATATTCATTTTTCTACAGGGTGTGGACAATCAGCCCCGATATATCGCCACACAGGGGCCACTGAGCCACACAGTGGGGGACTTTTGGAGAATGATTTGGCAGTACCAGGTTAAGGTAAGGTTTCTAAACTAACTGATCTACATTTGCAGAATTGACGACTATACACCTAATAATTGTACCAAACCTTTACCAAAGCCAGGCAAGGTGAAGCCAACATTGTGGACACAGAGGTAGATTGAGGTGAGAGAGGTGGGTACAGTGGCAGGGGAAGAGCTGGAGGGGAAGGTCAGTGGCCACAGAGCTGGTGGTGGGAGAGGAGAGAGGTGGGTACAGTGCCAGTGGAAGAGCAAGTGGGGGTAAGTGGACACAGAGATGGTGGTGGCAGTTGAAAGAGGTGGCACAGTGGCAGGGGGAGAGCCGGGGGCTCAGTGGACACATAGGCCTTTGGGGGGAGAAGAGAGATGTGGGCATAGTTACGAGTAGAAAGCCGCCCAAGGCTAACATCAGTGGCAGCAGCAGGAGGATCGCAGGGGGAGAGGTCAGGTGAGCTCTATACCCCATAGCTGGGATGAGAAGTCAAGTGAGCTCTGTACCCCAAACTGGGATGAGAAGTCAGGTGAGCTCTGTAATCTATAGCTGGGATGGGTGGTCAGGTGAGGTCTGTACCCCATAACTGCGATGAGAAGTCAGGTGAGGTCTGTACCACATAGCTGGCATGGGAGATCAGGTGAGCTCTGTAGCCCATAGCTGGGATTGAAGGTCAGGGGAGCTCTGTACCCGATAGCTGGGATGGGAGATCAGGTGAGCTCTGTACCCCATAGCTGAGATGAGAAATCAGGTGAGCTCTATACCCCATAGCTGGGTATGAAGGTTCGGTCAGTGGGAGATCCAGGGGGGAAGGGTGGCAAAAGGGCAATTTTTGCACGGGGATGTGGGAACATTTTCATGAATACCTAGGAGCAGCCTGTTAGTGAAGAGCAGGTGTGGGCCGTGTTCAACCAGTGTGCCCAGGAACTGACCCAGAGCACCCTGGCACCGTGGACCAGGGTACGGGACCCAGCACCAGTACTCTATAGATGATGGTATTCTGCATTGCTGTAGAATGTATTGCTGAGATTTGTAGTCCTCTCTAGCTGGTGATATTATTCTGCATTGCTGTATAATGTATTGCTGAGATTTATAGTCCTCTAAAGCTGGTGGTATTCTGCATTGCTGCACAATGTATTGCTTGGATTTGTAGTCCTCTATACAGTGGCAAAACTACCAGGGTCACAGCAGCTGCAGCTGTGATGGGGCCCTAGCATTTCGCCACTTGGGGGGCCCTGGTAACATTGCAGGTTACCGGACCCCCCTTCTATCAGTCTGTGGCCCTCCATCCTTCAGACTGCATGGATCGTGTGTATCACGATTGAACTATGGTTTGGTTTGTGGGGGGATGGGGGGGGGGTCGCTAATGAAAGACTTGCCCCCGGGCGCCTCGTGATCTTGCTACACCTCTACAGGGTATGGAACATGTGAAACTGTCCAATTCTGAGTGCTGTCACATGGGAATGGGGAGGAGTTTGCTGAGCCCTGTGCAGGTTTAGATTTTCAGAAAGAGGGAATTTCAGGGCTCTCTGCTAGTGGAAAGCATGTGGAAAGTGAGTACAGCTTTCCTATGGGGCCTCCTTAAAAACAAGTATGTTAGTTTGCCTACTATGATCAAAGTACAGGTTTGTGAACTTGTCACAACCCTGGCAATTCAAGCTAAACTGTCCCTGTAAACGGTTAGCCCCACCTTCCGCATTCCCCTATTGGTCCTTTATGATGGCATCCTCTGCCTATGTGTTTTTTTTTTTTAATTGCACAGCTTTTTGATAGTTTTACTTTAAAAGGAACCTGTGCAGAGAGGAAAATGGAGGCTACAATTGCTGCTGATCTCTACTTCTGAAAATGCAGATTGCTTGACTGTCATGTAGATCCAATTACTTCAGTACATGGTCAGTCACTGTCTTGCAATCCTGCATGGACAGGAAAACTAGGAAGCCAGAAAACTAGCATTTTCAGAAGTGGATTAACAATGGCAAAACACTCTATCTCTTTCAATACAGGTTTCCTTTATCACTGTAACAGGCCTCCTGGACTTTGTATACGCTTCTTAAACTTCCTCCTTTATTAGTTCCGATATGACTATTACCATGTACTGTATATTTGCATTGTGGTTTCTTCACAAAAAAATAAATGACAACCTTGTTTACAAAAATAACTAGCACATAGGAAAGTTTCCTGGTTTATAAGCTCATATACAGTACCTCGTGCCGTCAACTTCCTCTTTAATTTAAGCCCAACTTCAATCAATTTTGTTTTAGTTCTGTTTTGGATGCTGTGGGAAAGAATTAAAACTTATTAGGGTTTGTTTCTTTCTGTGACCCTAATGGCGAGCTTTTCACTTCCTCTCCCTGTGACACCAGTATAAGAAATAGGAGGAGTAGTTGTCATCTATGCAGGAAAGCACAGACCGCAATAAAAACATTGTCAGATGTTCTATCCCTTCCCCATTCTACAGTATTAAAATGTGTTATGTCTGTGTACCAGTTTGAGAGATTCTGTTGTAGCAGAAAGTGAGTGTGATGTCAAATTAATGTCTAAATCATGGATGTCAAACCAATCCAAAGGCTTCAATATGTTTTGATTCACCAGCCTGGAAACAGTATGCAGATCAGAAGTTCTGACTTTACTGTGACCTTGCTTGCTGCACTCTAATTCATGCTGAGGAAATCAGAACCTATTGAGGTTGGAGACATTTGGTTTGCTAGCATCTCAGAAGGTCGGAAATGGCAGTAGCTGTGTTTTTCTTGGTACAGATTATTTTAAGCAATCCAGCTTTGTCATTGACCAACTCCCAGCCTGCTGATTGGATAAGTAATAGGCAACAGCAGACAGAGATCATTCCAGTGTTCTACCACTCCAGTAAGCATGTTCACAGTGGTAGACTGACAGCACTGGGCCAAGAAATAGAGTCTTGTCTGGCTAAGGGCAAGTGTTAATGAGCTATAGTTCCCATTAGAACTGCTTCTCTCCCTATACAAGGTCATGAGAATGCAAGAGCAGCTTCCAACAGGTTGATGTGGCTTAGAAGAAGGTTAAAGAAGAACTCTGGACAAAACTTGTATTAATCCTTGCAGTGGGGCTACCCCCCGCTCTGCAAGGGTTAACTGCTTGTTTTTGTCAAGGTGCTAAAAAAAAGAGAGTAATACTCACCTGAACTGCGAAGACTTAAACTGATCTTCAATGCAAGCAAAATGAGCCTGAAAGCATTTGCTCATCAACACAATCCCAAAACCCATCATAACAGACATGAGCAGTGCTGACCCTGCCTCCCCAGTCTGGGCTTGTTTTGTAGATTATTACAAGAAGCTAAAATAATCACCAAATCCAGGTACTTATACTAGCTGTATTTAAAAAAAAAAAATGAAAGTATATCTAAAGCTAAAACTTTTTTTTTTTTTTAGATAGAGTAGGGAATGGTAAAAACCTCTGTCAAGATTGTGACATCAGAAAACATCTCCTGGCCTCCTGCTCTGGCAACTGTAAATTTTTGGATTTTGCATCACATTCTGTTGCGGCAACAATAATCACCAGGACAAACAGAGAGGGTGAATCTCCCCAGCAGGGATATAACAACAGAAGCTCTAACCCAGGGGTGCTCATTAAGTCGATCGCAAAGCGAACACTGGTAGATCGTGATCGGCTCACTTACCTGAGCTCCCTCCAGCGGTGCTCGTGCGGCTAAATGTGTCAGACGCTCCAAACAGGAAGGGGCGGGACACCTCTCCCTGTCTGCACATTCGGTCACACAAGCACCGTGGGAGGACAGGACACCGCACCTGAGAGGAGACCCGGGAAGCTGCTGCAATGCAGGTAAGGAAAGACAGCCAGGAGAGAGAAGAGAGATAGCAGCCACAGCAGAGAGAAGAGACAACAGAGAGAGAGGGAGAGAGGAGACAGCACAGAGAGAGCAGAGAGAGGAGACAGCACAGAGAAAGAGGAGACAGCAGAGAGAGAGAGGAGACAGCAGAGAGAGAGGAGACAGCAGAGAGAGAAGAGACAGCAGAGAGAGAGGGTCGGTACACACCACAAAGTCTACGTTCCGGAGTGTTCGGCCTCTGGAACGCACTGGAATGCAAGCCGGCGGCCCCCGCCCGCAGTGCGATCGCCCGCACCCGGAATGCAGGCACATTAGTGGCTGCGTTCCGGTCCAGTGCGATCTGCAAAAATAGTTTTAGCAGCATTTTTGCAGATTGCATTGGACCAGAATGCAGGGACTAATGTGCCTACGTTCCGGGTTCGGGCGATCGCACTGGGGCGGGGGTGTGTGGCTGCGGTGCCATTGACTTCAATGCATTGCCACGCCCCATCCCGCCCCCCAACGCAGGGAGCTAGCCATCTTGCAGAGGCCGAACGCTCTGGAATGCAGACTTTGTGGTGTGAACCGGCCCGGAGAGAGACAACAGAGAAAGGAGAGAGAGAGAGGCAATAGTCCCAGTAACGATTTTAATGTGCTTGTTTTCTAAATAAAGCTGTTTTTTTCGCTGTTAGATCTCATTGAGCTCGTCATTTGAAAAGTAGGTCTCCAGACGAACAATTGTGGGCACCCCTGATCTAACCCTACTATACTCTATCTAAAACAAAAAAGAACTTTAGCTTTGGATACACTTTACCTTATTAAATGGATACATAACTAGTTTATGGCTTTCTATTTCTGCCTGGAGCTCAGCTCTGACATTGTGTACATTACAGTTTTCGCTTTGGTATTGTATGAAACAACATGGTAGAATCTTGCCACCTTTATCAATGTGTCATATTTCTTACAGGTTATAGTAATGGCGTGTCGAGAAGTGGAACACGGAAAGGTAGGTAACTGCTGACCCTAATTATACAGACAATTCAGATCACTCCCAGCCCCATGAGAGAGAGAGAGGTAACCCCACTGCAAGGGTTAATTTGTCGCTTGCCCGGAGTTGTTCTTTAATGCTGTTTTTTGTATCGGCTTAGTAAATGCATGTCCTGACTCCACACACTTTGTTCGGTCTCCTATTATTAAATGACTGAGATCTCTTTTGCAGAAAAAATGTGAACGCTACTGGCCGATGGATGAAGAACCGTTCCAGTACGGACCATTCACAGTTAGCACGGTCAGTATACTGAATTGTGATTATTAAAGCAAGCATATGTCTTGATATGTATTTTTCTAATCAGGTGACAATGAAACATTTTATATTCTGTTATTTAGCATCCAGCCAGCAGATGAAGCTTTAGGTTCCTTTCACCATCATTATGCCTTTTCTTATATTCTTTGCTGAATAAAGAAAGTATGTTGTTGATGGAGCTCAATAGCTTAAGCTAAAATTTTAAAACACATGTGAATGATTTAGAGCAGTGATTCATTGCTCCTCCTCCCTGCTTGCTCTAATCAGACAATTCCATACAGATTTTTAATAAGAAACAGTCTGAAAGCAAACAAAAAAAAGTGCCATTTTCCTGCCGATGCAGCGGCACATCCCTGCTTTCTTTCCTCCTCGCTGGGCGCTGCTCTGTATCCCAGCGGGGAGGAGAGAAACGGTGATAGCCGGCCGAGTGCTGCGGGAGGAGAGCGCCGTGAGCTGCGGCCGGCGTCTCCTCCTACACCGTATAAATATAAAAAAGAGTTTATAGAAAATTATAATAAAATATTAGAAAAAATGACAAGGTAAGTAAGTGACAAGGACACTGCCTTTCTGGCAAAAATCGGCAGGTATTTTTTGTTCTTGCTGAAAATGTTCCTAGCCTGAAAAGTGCAAACAAATTCATCAGCCACATCTAAGAACCAGTAAGCTACAATACATTTAATTGTTTTTGGGTGTAGATACCCTTTAAACTACTTTCCATTTTAGATCTAGGAGACAAAACCAAATAGAACTTACTGAGAACCATCATAGTTTCCCTTGACATTAAGGTGTTGTGTTTTGTTGTTAGGTGGCGAAGGTCTTTGTGAATACGGAGGTGGTCTTTAGGAACCTAAAGGTGGTATATCAGGAGGTGAGTGTACAGCTCAGCTGCCTCATAGAGAGTAGGAAGTCCTGGTATAGGTCTCTCTCAAACTGGATGGGTGAGGGTATGTCAATGGAAAAGTTTTTGAATCTTCATATTGATGGTGCATTCTAGATCTGCTTGTTCAGATTCACTGCTACAGATGTCACTGCCCTTCATTTTGTAGGGGTACAGGGGTTAGAGAATGACAGCTTTAATCTAAGGTTTCCTGCACAAGTAGTTTGTGATAGGCTACCTTTAAAGACAATGTATAGTGGTTTTGTATATATTTCTTTATTTATTCTGGTTCAGACTAAAATGTTTATGTTCTTTAATTTTTCTGCCAGGTAAATATTAAATATTGCATATCAATGGTCTTAGTATTTTCAGGCATTTCTCTTCCAGGGTATCCCTACTGTCATTTATTTCCTGCTGTTTACAGATCTTAGTAGTATGAGTTCCAATGTTTACACCACTGAACCAGATTAGTCACTCTTCCCATTCCTGCCTGCTTCAGACAACTCCCTGTTGTTTCAATCAGAGAGAGAGAGAGCGACTGAGGGCAAACAGCTATTGCTGTGCTCTGTGAGTGACTATACCCAGTACTGTATGCTTATTTGTAAAACAAGTTTGTATATAAAGAATAAAAAAGATGAAATGTCAGTTTAAAAACTAATAACATAAAATATGTAATGTGACACAGACAGAATTAAAAAACTGATGTGTTTTAACCATTCCATACCCCATCCAAATAAAACAAAATGGCTTCTGATATGTTTGTATTGTTTCCAATGGCTTAGCATGCAAAACACATGCAAACCAGAAGCAAAACACTTCAAAAGACATGCGTATTTAAAACTTCAACAGTGGTCTCTTTGAGGAAAGGTTGACCTTTCAAAAATGTTTTTGCATCTGGGCTGGCTAGCCTTCAAAAATTCAGAGAAATATGTCAATCTGGTACCATCCAAGCCTAAAGAATAGGTCTCAGTAATACTGTTTTTTTTACTCCTGTAAGAGGCAGTATTACAAGTTCACACAACAGTGAAAATGGGCCCTAAAACGTGGCTTCATGTAAACCATGGAACATATTTCTTCGTTAATGGGTGCGCTTGGCAGTCGGACCTCTGTAAGGTGCTCAGACTCCTGAAGATACGAAGCTTGTTCGAGGCTGGAGGGTTGGGAGGCGGCAGAGCCCGTGGTGTTGTGCCCCCCGGGGGTGGCATCCCAGGGGTGCTCAGAAAGTCACTTGGGTGTGGGACCTACCCTTTGACTCACTGATGCACTTGGTCACACACCACTTTACAGTTTCTGCACAACGCCTCAGAGACAGGCCTTATGGCTAGTCCGGGGAAATCTTTTTGCACTCGGCCCCTGGGGCCTGTCAGCATGGTGCACTGGCACTATTTATTTATTGCACCTCATGCACGTTTGATACGTTTTTTGTTTTTTAAATTTGACCCACAGAATGCTTAGGGTGCAGGTTCCTTCAGGGCCTATTCCCGATGCTGGGGAGGAGGTTCTGTACCCTAATATAGGGTTCTCTGCCTCCTCCCAACCAGGGGGGTCTCTCTTCGGGAGAGTCCTCTACCTAGTACTATGTGGGACCTGTTTCGGCAGGTCCCCAAAGGATCGAGGTCCGCCTGCCTTCGGGTAGGTGGACCATAGTATCTCAACCCCTGTCAGGAGCCTTACGCCCCGGGGGGGTGGGGAATCGAGGTCCCTTCTTAATTGAAGGACCAAGCACCCTTGTGCACGTTTTTGTGTGCTGTGATTTCACGGTTCACTTTTTTTGTTCACAGGGGGAAGTTGTTTTTCGATGCACGTTCCACGGGCTCTTAAAAATATGGAACATATTTCATCGCTTCTCGGCCTTTTGGCTAAGATCAAGTGTAGTATCTGTTCTTATCAGTTTCCGGTGGGGAAAAGAACCGTCCTTTCAGGGGGGTGGTTACTTAGCACTCGCTGGAGTGAAGGTTCGTGCTGGGCTGCTTCCTGTGAGAGGGGAGGACAGCCTGGTATACGGCCTCCTGATAGAGCAGGTGCTTGCTTGGTCTGGCCAGAGGGTTCGGGGGCGGCAGAGGCCCGGGGTGCTGTGCCTCCTGGAGGTGGCGTTGCAGGGGTGCCAGAGAATTACACTGGGTGTGGGACCCCAGCACTAATTCACTGACACAAGGTCGTGGCACCTATTGCATTTTCTGCACAACGCCTCTTAGACAGGCCTTGTGGCTAGTCTGGGGCAATATTTTTGCACTCCGGTCCCTAAGGCCTGTCAGCGTGGTGCACTGGCACTTTAGATTTATTTATTGCACCTCATGCACGATGGCACTTTTGATTGAAATTTTACCCACAGATGTGGAGGGTGCGGGTACCTACGGGGCCCATTCCTGACGTGGGGAGGAGATTCTGTGCCCTTATATAGGGTTCTCTGTCTCCTCCCACCTGTGGGGGGTTTCTCTTTGGGGATCCCCCCAACCTAGTACTGTGAGGGACCTGTTTCGGCAGGTCCCCAAAGGAGCAGGGTCCGCCAGCCTTCGGGTAGGTGGACCATAGTATCTCAACCCCTGTCAGGAGCCTTGCGCCCCGGGGGGTCGGGAATCGAGGTCCCTTCTTAATTGAAGGACCAAGCACCCTTGTGCACGTTTTTGTGTGCTGTGATTTCACGGTTCACTTTTTTTGTTCACAGGGGGAAGTTGTTTTTCGATGCACGTTCCACGGGCTCTCAAAAATATGGAACATATTTCATCACTTCTCTTACCTGTTTCGGCAGGTCCCCAAAGGATCGGGGTCCGCCAGCCTTCGGGTTGGTGGACCATAGTATCTCAACCCCTGTCAGGAGCCTTGCGCCCCGGGGGGGGTCGGGAAATTGGGTCCTTTCTTTATTGAAGGACCAAGCACCCTTGTGCACTTTTTTACGTGTGTTGTGATTTCACGATTTCACTTTTTTTGTTCACAGGGGATTCGTTTTCGAGCACGCTCCCCGGGCTTAAAAAAAAAAAAAGAAATGGAACATATTTCATATCGCTTCTCGGCCTTTTGGCTAAGATCAAGTGTAGTATCTGTTCTTATCAGTTTTCGGAGAACCGTCCTTGCGGGGGATGGTTACTTAGTACTCGCTGGAGTGAAAGAGCGTGTGGGGCTGCTTCCTGTGAGAGGGGAACAGCCCAGTACATGGCTTTCTGACTGAACAGATGCGAAGCTTGGTCTGGCTGGAGGGTGTAACGGCCGCTACCCCCAGCTACCTCCATTCTCCAAAACCACCAAATCGCAAGTATTTGAGTGCAGTTGCACACTTTGCATTCAGGACTGTGTTGAAATACAACTTGAAAAGCTTACCACTACTACTGGGGAACGGTACCAATACCAAATAACAGTGTCTTGCCTTTGTATGCCCTGCTATTCGTTAATCTTTAGGCATACCCCGCAGCTTGTTGATTAACTTACTTTAGGGATACCCTCGCCAATCCATTTATTGTTTAAATTGAGGCTGTGATGCTAGAGAACCCTAACTCTCCGTTAATAGTGAAACCAGGGTTCCATACCTGAGAAGCCTCCGCTGCTGCGATCCACGTACTCCCAGTCCGTAACAGGCGTGACAGAGGGTTGGGGGCTGCAGAAGCCCGAGGTGTTGTGCCCCCTGGGGGTGGCGTCCCAGGGGTGCATCAGAAAATCACTAGGGTGTGGGACCCCACAAGTGATTCACTGAGCACTTGGACACGACACCATATTGCTATTTTCTGCGCCTCGCCTCCGAGACAGGCCTTGTGGCTAGTCTGGAATATTTTTGCGCCCCGGCCTTCGGGTTGGTGGACCAACAGACTCAACCTCTGTCTGGAGCCTTGTGCCCCGGGGGGGAGGGGGGGAGAGGGGGCGGGAAAGTAGGTCCCTTCTTTATGGAAGGACCAAGCACCCTTGTGCATGTTTTTGTGTGCTGTGATTTTTTTTGTTCACAGGGGGAAGTTGTTTTTCGATGCACGTTGCACGGGCTTAAAAAAAAATGGAACATATTTCATCGCTTCTCGGCCTTTTGGCTAAGATCAAGTGTAGTATCTGTTCTTATCAGTTTCCGGTGGGGAAAAGAACCGTCCTTTCGGGGGGGTGGTTACTTAGCACTCGCTGGAGTGAAGGTTCGTGCTGGGCTGCTTCCTGTGAGAGGGGAGGACAGCCTGGTATACGGCCTCCTGATAGAGCAGGTGCTTGCTTGGTCTGGCCAGAGGGTTCGGGGGCGGCAGAGGCCCGGGGTGCTGTGCCTCCTGGAGGTGGCGTTGCAGGGGTGCCAGAGAATTACACTGGGTGTGGGACCCCAGCACTAATTCACTGACACAAGGTCGTGGCACCTATTGCATTTTCTGCACAACGCCTCTTAGACAGGCCTTGTGGCTAGTCTGGGGCAATATTTTTGCACTCCGGTCCCTAAGGCCTGTCAGCGTGGTGCACTGGCACTTTAGATTTATTTATTGCACCTCATGCACGATGGCACTTTTGATTGAAATTTTACCCACAGATGTGGAGGGTGCGGGTACCTACGGGGCCCATTCCTGATGTGGGGAGGAGATTCTGTGCCCTTATATAGGGTTCTCTGTCTCCTCCCACCTGTGGGGGGTTTCTCTTTGGGGATCCCCCCAACCTAGTACTGTGAGGGACCTGTTTCGGCAGGTCCCCAAAGGATCGGGGTCCGCCAGCCTTCGGGTTGGTGGACCATAGTATCTCAACCCCTGTCAGGAGCCTTGCGCCCCGGGGGGGGTCGGGAAATTGGGTCCTTTCTTTATTGAAGGACCAAGCACCCTTGTGCACTTTTTTACGTGTGTTGTGATTTCACGATTTCACTTTTTTTGTTCACAGGGGATTCGTTTTCGAGCACGCTCCCCGGGCTTAAAAAAAAAAAAAGAAATGGAACATATTTCATATCGCTTCTCGGCCTTTTGGCTAAGATCAAGTGTAGTATTTGTTCTTATCAGTTTTCAGAGGGGAACAGCATTGACCGTTCTGGGAAGGATGGTTGCTAAGTACTCTCTGAAGTCAAGGTGGGTGTTGGGGTGACTCCTTTTTGAGTGGGGGAGCTTCCTCGATACTAATGCCTCCTGATGGGGACGGGTGCTATACCTCTGGTCTGGCTAGGGGTTCCGGGAGGCGCAGAGGCCCGTGGTGCTGTGCCCCCTGGGGGTGGCGAACCCAGGGTGTGCCAGACAATCACTTGGGTTTGGGACCCTACTGTGATTCACTGTCACTAGGTCACGGCACTTCTCGCTTTTTTTGCACTATGCCTTTAGGGCAGGCCTCATGGATAGCCTGGGCAATTTTTTACTCTGGCCGAAAGGCCTGCCAGGGTTATGCCCTGGCACCTTATTTATTTATAGCACTTATTATGCATGATTGAGCACTTTTTACTCCACAGAGACGGGGCCCGTCCTGATGTTGAGGGGGGGGGATTCTCTGGCCTTTATGGGATTCTCTGCCTCCCTCCACTTGGGGGTCTCTCTTCGGGGGAGCCCTTTACTTAGTACTCGTGGGCAGGGCAGCCTTCAGAAATTTTCAGAGCTGGGAGAGGCGGTGCGGCGTGAAGTGTGCAATGCGTGTGCAGCCGCAAACAGGGGCAACTAATCTAGAGCCGACTAATCGATGATGGAAAACGTTGACAACATTTTCCATCATCGATTTTAATCAAATGTCACAGTCACATCAGTCTCTGTACAGAGGAGCTTACACTCTAATGTCCCCCCACAATCACATTAGACCTCTTTTTGCTTCCAAAGACCTCTTCATGATCTTTGCAGGGTCAGGATACCCTTTAGCAAGACAGTGTACATATAATGCGGAAAACCAGAAGAGGGATTAGGGACCCATTACACAGCCTTCCACTCTCTGACCCCCCCACACAATCACTATGCGTGTATGATTTAAGCCTGTCAAGATGGTTGTACATGATCACATTACTGCCCCACCAGCTTGATGCAACCACAAGGGGGCTACGATCTCCAGACAGTGAGAACAGTATGAGCATACTGCATGTGAATAGGTAACATAGAAAAACCAGAAAAGGAGGATAAAACATAAAAATTAATGTTGGAATGCCCAGTAACGAGCCCAGACACATAGAGCGAGAAGCTAGAAACAGAGGGGGGGAAAAAAGGTAGGAAGAAGATGCGCCCGGAGGTGGACAGGAGCCACCGAATCCAAGCTTCAGATCTGTCTACAATGGCACCACAAACACCCCACCAGCCCACCTTCACAGGCCCGCCAGACCAAGACCAACAAAATGGCATATTTTAATCTCGAGTCTATTCAGACATATAATGTTTAACTATAATATGTTTAGCTATAGATGAACGGTCTCCAGCAAGGCCACATGATCGTGTGCTTTTCTAATGTATCTTGCATGGTGAACATAAGTTCTTCCAGTTCACAGATATGATCAGCTTGTTTTAACCATGCAGACACAGTGGGAGTACACATTTCCCTCCACAATCTTGGGATAATTGCACGCACATCATTAATCAAGTGCCTGTGTA